TATCGAAACCCGGTTTCTAGCATTGTAAGTCTGCAGACATATCGCTGTGCCACTGGGGGGCTTTATCTAGGCACAAATAAAAAAATTCATCATGTTTAGAGACGGGCTTAACTGTAATGCTTATATAAAAAAATAATATATGCTGTAACCATTTCTTCAATCCTTAACTATAAAGCTTAAGATTGATGGTTAAAAAGTATTTCGCCTACAGTGAACTATCATAATAAGAATGTTGTTTGATGAGGAACTTATATTTCAAGTACACATTTTGATAAACCAGTTCTCAGCATAATAAATTCTACTGGATTCCTGGTTTTTATAGAAGTAGAAGAAAATCTGGTTTCTGTGTGAAGCCTTCATCAGTGATTTTAAATTTTTATACAAAGGGCTATCTGCACATAGACGTCCTTAAGTTTAAACTGACAGAACAGAGGAAAAGCAGCCAATCAACAGCACCAACTACCATCTCTTAGGCTGCTCTTGTCTGAGTAAACAATGTGACTTGACTATCACACAATGGCCCTAAAGTGTGAAGTGCATTTTTGTGGCAATGAGACAAACCATAAACCCTCAAATTCACAAGCCAGGTACGCTACCACTATGCCATATGCACAGCCCACATCACAAGCAATGAAACAATGATGCAGTCCATAAGAGCTTCAAATTCAGTAAAGCGAACACTGTAAAAATACATCATAAAACAAGAATTATTTAAAATATATTTTTTCTCAGACTTTTATCCACCTTATAAAAGAAATTCGTTTTCACTAGTACAAGCAACTTCAAAATTCGTAAAGAAAATCAATACTTTACTACTAAGGTAAAGCACTGTATAAATAAAATACATCACAACTTCAAGTTTCTGATAGAAAAAAAAACTTTGTTTTATTATTTATAGTATATGAACTTGACATCATACAAAATTCCAGGTAAAATAAAAACGGTAATTTTCTTTACTCGCCACAACACTTGATACGATTACTCTAAAATATCAAATCTTGCCACTCCTGTTAACATTCAAAATTCAAGCTAAAATTCAAGTAGTGATTATACACTGTTGTACGTATTTCAAATGGTGATTACTACAAGTAATAACCATAAGAAAATAAATTAAGTGCACTACTAAAAGCAATAATATTAATACATAAATAATAATGCTTATTTGAACTGTTAAAATATGGCTAATGCATACATCAACATATCAAAATTTACAGAAAAATGTTTAATAGTACACAAAGCTTAAAGATCTCTTTTCAAACTTGTTTGCACGTATTTTATTTTTGATACATATTTCTGCCATATTTTGATCAGCTTGTCAAAATTAGCATCTACACCATATAAAACACTAAATTTTATATACATATTATTTAAAAAAATTCTTCTATATTTTGCTTCAAGATAAACCTTTGGTTTCCTATACAATATCAATATCTTATTTCAAGAGAAATTCAATAAAGTGAACATTGTGTTTAACATATAATACAGCAAGTGTAAATTTTCTCTACAATATATCACAATAATGCTGCTTTGGTTTCACCATAAACTCAAGCATGTTTTTATACAGTCGAAGCATGAGCAAGTTTAGATGCTTACTGAAGTTCGGTGCGTAGGCTAGTCAGATTTATGCTCATACATGCATTTCAACTTTACATGTATGCACTTTTATGAAACTTGAGCATAAAACAGATGACTTGGTTTCTATTCAGTCAGGCCATGGTCTTCTTTTATTCTGTTATATATATATATAATATGTCAGGATTAATAAATGGTATCTATATCATCCACAATAACTATCGTAAGTATCACTTGATACCGAATCCTTGAAAACCATTTGTGAACAACTGAGACTCTTCATAAGCTCGTTTTCCTTCTTCACCTGAAAGATAATTACTTCTATTACACTGAACATTGTACATTAGAAAATAATTGACAGGTCATTAGAAGCCATATCAAACAGTACAAGACAATGACATATTTAACATGCAATAAGTTAGAGAGTATGTCAAACACTATGTAAAAATGCAGTTAAGTCATTAGAATTTGGGTCAAATATGTAAAAAACAAATACCAGTCGTTACTAAAAAATGTTAAACATATTAAGCACAGTGCAAACTAATTAATCATTAGAACAAATGTTAAAACAATGTAAATTCTTTAAATAAAGTACTGTTAATTATAAGTATAGCATAGTTAATAATGATGGTTTATGAAGCACTGTACAAGTCAATCATTACAATACGTGTTTAATGTTCCAAGCATGAGTTACTTAGAACCTCTGGTCTACTGTACGGTATAAATATGAAGTGAAGCCTTGATATAATCTGGTAGTCAGGATTCATGTCTCTCCCAGGACCACGTTACTGGTGAGGCTCATTATAGTGCTGTCCTGTCAAACTGCCACATAAAGTGGGCCCACATTACAGCAATGTTCTGTCAAACTGCCACATAAGGTGGGCCCACATTACAGTAATGTCCTGTCAAACTGCCACATAAGGTGGGCCCACATTACAGCGATGTCCTGTCAAACTGCCACATAAGGTGGGCCCACATAACAGTAATGTCCTGTCAAACTGCCACATAAGGTGTGCCTACATTACAGTAATGTCCTGTCAAACTGCCACATAAGGTGTGCCTACATTACAGTAATGTCCTGTCAAACTGCCACATAAGGTGTGCCTACATTACAGTAATGTCCTGTCAAACTGCCACATAAGGTGGGCCTACATTACAGTGATGTCCTGTCAAACTGCCACATAAGGTGTGCCTACATTACAGTGATGTCCTGTCAAACTGCCACATACGGTGGGCCCACATTACAGCAATTTCCAGTGAATGCCCAAACTGCCAGAAACCATGAGAAAACCATCACAACTTATCTTCTTTTAACCAGCCAAATAGCATTGATTCAATGATGCCATGTTTTTTTGAGATGGATGCCTGGTTAGCCCCTTTCTTTATCTCATCTATGATGGTGAGATTTTTGGTGATAGTGTATGATTTTCTCTTCTTGCAATTGACATTAATAGCGGACCTGATGATAGTATTGTTTAAATTGTACAAGTACTAATGTTTTGTAGTTGTTTGGGTGCCTCATTTATGAGGGGCTAAGTGGCAGTCATTGAGAATAACCAAATTTCATTGGTTAACTTGCTTAATTAAGATGGGGAAACTTCATTGGTCAGCTACTAAATTATTGTAACTAAGTAAATACCCTCAATTCAAACTGATTAATTAACTTTTAGCTAGGCCTGGAATTTTGGGGTCCACGAGAGATCTACATTATACCGAGACCAGCTCTATAGTGATTCACATTATAATGAGGCTACACTGTGTTTACAATTGTTTTCAGTTAATAAACTAAATCCAGAATTGTAATTTTGTGGTCAATTATTCTAAAGTACTGTTAATGGTAAATGGATTTAAATTAAAAATTCTGAAAAATAATTTTAGAAGATTTCATAACTGATTTTGAGATTGAGTAGCTTTTATAAAGACAAGATAATTCATGCTCAGTATCTTGGTAATTTGTTGGATTACAGTGGAATTCTTGTTATTCTAATGCTCTATTATGATTGTTTTGTACTTCTTCTCTCAGGTGATTTACTTACTTGTAATATTTATATTAAACTTAAAAAAGAAACAGCTAAACAGCTCTTAATTTTCATTAATTACCTTAAAGTTGACCTATATAAATACAAACACTAATATTAGCAGGAAATGTGAGATCTTGGTGAAACTAATAAATCAGGCAATTTCGATAATGTTTGATTAAAAAAACAGGAAATCGTATGGATCTATAAAGTAATACACTTTCGTTTATAAAACTTTTGTTCAAAAAATTGAAGTTAGGGAACATCTAGATTAGTGACGATGTACATCTGTTTGAAATTGTACGAGTTTCAAATCTTTGGTTGCTGTATAAATTATAATGTTAGGAAATGAGAAGTTGGACCTCATTCAACTACTGCGATGAAAGAGTTACAGCTGTTTTTGTTAATATATATAAAAAAAAATAGTATTGAGACAAAATGCAATGGTTCTGTTTGTTTATTGCAAAGCTAATAAGGCAGCTGTCAAGAGCACCCATCCTCAACTCTTGAGTTACTTTTTACCAGTTGTTTCAATCCCATAATTTGCAGATTGCATGTTGAGTGCCCTTACCACCAGGCCAAACTAGTTCCATTATAAATTGTCTATAATAACTATAAAAGAATACCACGAGACTTCCTCACTCATGAAAACTTGGCGTATGTCTAGACAAAGGAGCACAAACAAGCAGCACAGACTTACTGAATAAAGAGTTTTGTTTTGTTGTTGTTTATCATAAAAGTGTTCTAATTGAAACATTTTAACATTTTTATTGGAATATTTTTTAAGGATTACAATCTTTATGAAAGGTAAAATACCCAGAATCTTGAAACATTTTAACATTTTTATTGGAATGTTTTTTAAGGATTACAATCTTTATGAAAGGTAAAATACCCAGAATCTTGAAACATTTTAACATTTTTATTGGAATGTTTTTTAATGATTACAATCTTTATGAAAGGTAAAATACCCAGAATCTTGAAACATTTTAACATTTTTATTGGAATGTTTTTAAGGATTACAATTTTTATGAAAGGTAAAATACCCAGAATCATGAAACATTTTATTATTTATATTCTACTCAATAAAAGTGAAAAATTCTATTAATTTACTAAAAAAGTGCTTTACAAGGTATCATGTTACATTCTTAACTTGCAATGAAACAGCTTTAACATGTTACCGAGTTGTGTAAATGTTCTCATATACAACTTATAAGTTAACGAAGACTTACCAAACTTGAAGAGTGTGTTTTTTGCTTCATGCCGAACAAGAGAGTTCTCATCAGCATGTGACAGGTATGCCAGCAACTCAGTACATTCAAAAGCCTAAAACAAAACATTTTATAGTTAAAGAAAGTTACTAGTTTCTGTGATAAGTCATCTATTTACGAACTTAACATTAAACATTGTTTTAAAGATCGCAGGAACAGACTAATGTTGATAAAGCATGGAATTTTAAAGAAAATCTTTATATAAAAATTAAGATCATACGTGACATAGAAAAGGTGTGGCTAATGACTAAGAAACGTAAACGATTTTATGGTTCTCATTGGATAAAATTTTTAGTTTTTCCCTAACTCTTGGTTCCGAAAGCTTTCAGTTAATCATTCAAAAGAAGTGAGAAAACTCACCTATAACAAATTTAAAACAAAAACGATTTAACCATCAATACAGACAGCACAAAAACATTAAGCCAGAATGCTGCTCGAGTTGTTCTCTACTGTCAAAAACATGTCACATTATAACACCTCCATGGCTGAAAGGGCAAGCATGTTTGGCAAGATGGGGATTTGAACCTGCAACCCTCACATTGCAAGTTAAGCACCCTAACCACCTGGCCAATTCAGAAGAAAAGTGAAAGTAAAGACTGAACTCAAGGTTTTCACAGATGAACAAATGACCCAAGAAAACACTGAAAACTTTGTATGTTGTTGAACTCAAGGTTTTCACAGATGATCCAAGAAAGCACTGAAAACTTTGTATGGAGGAGTTGTTGAACTCAAGGTTTTCAC